TCTCCATCCTTGTATGAGGGCCATGTAGCTTACTGCAATAAAGTTGCTCATGTGTCCAAGCAGATAACTCTAATGCCCATTGTTCCGGGACGATGGGCCCGTTTTCCAGCAGGTGCTGATCCCCGCCAATAGATGGAGCCTCCCGACAGTGCTAGTGGTGCCTGCTCCTATCAGCCCCCCAAACACTAGCTCGGGTTGTTCTGTCTTCAGTAGAGTCACAAAAACAAGTTAGAATTGCACAATGAGGCAAGATACAGTTTGCAATTGCACTTCGGGCACCCTACCTGGCCAGAAAGTTGGGTTGTATAGATTGTCCACGCTGCAATTTGAAACTGTATCTTGGCCCATAGCACAATTATAACTCTTTTTTGTGACCCCAGGGTAGTTCCCCCCCTCCCCACCCCCCGCCCCACCAAAAGAAAGAAAAACAGACACCCCTAGCAAACCCTGCGGTTGGCTCCAGCCTATTGGTGGGGAGCAGCACCTGCTAGAAATCGGGTCCGAAAAAAAAAGGACAGACCAACAATGAAAGAGTGTGAGAAAAACTGCCAGCATTGATTGCCCTGGTTTGTCCTAGGGGATTGACGGAGCAGCACTGAAAGAGCTTCTCTCACCCTTCTTCAAGGGCGCCTGATGATTCTTAGGATAAATGGCTCACGAACAAAATGAGATGAGACAACAACAGAGAGGCCCCACCTCATCATGTCGTTCATGCGAAGAAGGAACCACAGTAGACAAGGTAGCCGCCAACTCCTTGTCAGACAAACAACTCCCATCCACCACCGCACAAAGCCCTGCAATGATTCCTCTGACGTCCTTGAGCAGTCCAGCACACTCATGTTGGTCGGCCTCCACCTCGTCAGTCTCATCCCGTTGTTGGAGGGAGTTGTTGGTATTGAGCTCCTCCTCCCATCCAACAAAAGTCTCCTCTATGTCGAACAAGACCTCCAATGGCATGTTGTCCCACTCTTGAATCAGCAGCGTGCACTTCCTCCAACTGCTGCTTATACAAAGGCACAATTGCACCGCTGTGCAAAATGAACTCAGATGAACACCATGTAGAAGAAGATGATATGAGCTTTATTACGTGACGCCATCAACTTCCCCTCCGCCAAAACCCTCCACCACGGAAGAGGTACTCAACACTTCCAGTCATAAGTCACTCAGATTGAGGTAAGTGTTACTTCCTAGTACTTCTTTAAATACTACTTGATTGCAAGACCCAATCGTGCGAACTTGCGCATCTACCCTCACCTTGCGCTCGTCGAGCAAGATTGCCTCGCTCGAAATTTAGTCATAAAATAAAATAAAATAAACAAAATCCCTTCTCCCTAATTCGTTTAAACCTTATGTTTTCTGCAGAGTGAACCTAGCCTGTTCCCTGCTCAGGTACAGACCCGTTCACTGACTTATACTCATTTCCCGCCGCGCGGCTTTACCAACCTCTACGATAAAAAATGCCGAAAGCATCCAGAGATACAACAAGGGTCAAAATAGCTGACGACCTTATGCTTACTGCAGAGTGAACATAGCCTTATGCTTTTTTGCAGAGTGAACATAGCCTGTTTCCTGCTCAGGTACAAACCCGTTCACTAACTTTCACTCATTTTCCCGCCGCGCGGCTTTACTAGCCTCTATGGTAAAAAAAGCCAAAAGCATCCAGAGATACAACAAGGGTCAAAACAGCTGACGACCGCAAACAGAGTGCGGACACTGCAGTCCGATATCTGTCCCGGACGGTGATATCCTGTTCATTCGGCGCCGATTTCATTGGCCTATTCCCTGGCTTTCATGATTCCGCCGCACAACTTTACCACCGCCTCTACGACAAAAAATGCCAAAACCTCCAGAAGTACAAAGGGCCAAAGTAGTTGACGACCGCCTCGGAGTGCGAACAATTTAGTCTGATACCTGTCTCGGGCGATGATATCCTGTTCACCGGACGCCGATTTCATCGGCCCTGTCTTCTCTTGTGATCAAAGCAGGGCATCCTTCACGTCATTTCAAACGTATCCAGAAGGCTCAACATCTTACCCCAAAAAACAGGATCTTCCCTCCTCTGAATCCATCTTACCCCTGCTTTCAGCACTTTTCCCGGGTACTTCAATTTTTGAAGTTCTTCTGCCAACGACAACGTCCCCCAACATACCATACCCCTATCGTTGCAATTCTGCGTTATTCTGAGGATTGTGTTGGCCACGGTGGCGTATTTAGCCTTCTTTGGACCGAACGACTGGAAATCTTTATAGGTTCGAAACTGCAAATCCCCATCTTTCCAGATTGAATTCTCCCTTGTGTCTCGACGATAACCAACCGTGTCTCCAAAAAGTCCAGGACACCATTTCCCAGATCGGATCGTTCCAGTACCAGACCAGTCGGGTAGCATGTTGCAATTCTGTTGAGTCGCAGTTTGGCACGTTCCCTTCCGTCAAGCTCGTCCTTTTGAAAAAAGGATACGATAAGGAGGTCGTCAATGTATCTTTTGTCGGAAATCCATTTTGCGTCGGGTCCTAAGGACTGTACAAACTGAAACTCCGCGTACATGCACATGACACACGCGAGCGGTGGGCTAGCCCTTCCCCCCATTGGCAAACCTTTTTTCTGTTTGAGTGTTTTATCTGCCACTAGGAACACCGTGTTTTCAAGCTGAAATTTTGTCAATGTGCTTAGTTTGCTTAGACGCACTGATTTCCAACCAACCTCACCCCGTGCTTTTCCAAACTTCACCAAGTGTTTCCTCATGTTAATTCTTATCCATTTTGCCGAAAATTGTTCGGCTATCCATTCCACTGCCCGACTGATTTCTGGGTGTGGAAGTTCCGTAAACATTTCCTTGATATCATAGGTTCAAGCTATAACACCAAGGCTTAGTTGGTTTAGTCCTTCAATTTCTCCTTTTAAGTCTGTCAATGTTCTCAGATTAAAATGTGGAACTTCAGTTCTTTTAATCAGTTCGTTGAGGATCAGCGACAACACCCCTGAGGCCGATCTGAACTGACTCTTATACGATGGTACGATCGGTCGCCTTCTCCTTTTGTCTTTTTCTTTTGGCATAATATACACATGCTGGAGATCGCCTTTCCTGTCCCACGTAGCAATCTGATTTAATCCAGCATTCTTATATTCATTTCTCTTTTTATTGAGAACTTGGTCCTTTGCATCAGCAACTGCCACATAATTATCGTTCTCCAAAAACATCTTCTTCAATCCTTCTTCGAAGATCTTTGGGCATTCAATCCAGGTTTCCGTTTGATTTCGGTCAAGCGGAGACATAACCAGCCCTGAGAGAGCTTGCTTTAGGCCTTTTACATACTCGCTGAGTACGCAGCCTGCTTCCTGTCTTTCTCCCTTTTTTAGCACCTTGCTCAGATTGATACGAAAATCCAGATTTGCCTCAACAGTGTTACCCAAACAGGCCAGAGCCTCATTACATGCATTGTTGATTATAGCACGAGTATCCATGTTTCCAAGAAATGACACATTTTTGGAGTTGTAAACAAAGGGATCAATCGCTGCAATGATACGAACTTTAACCGAGACATGTCCATTTATTCTGGGCATGTCAAAGTCAGCACAACAGCACTCGAATGTGCTACATTGTGCAAAGGACTTATGATTATGCAACAGGTGGCCAACCGTCTTGGCTTTCAGCCAAACAGTTTTTGTCTGTTTTGCATAAAGGTTAGCACGAGCCACTGGTTTGACGTTTCCCTTAATCCAACTCTTTACTTCATTCTCCACTTTAGCTTTATTAATTGTTGTGCAGAACTGTATCTTCACTGTTATGTTACGCCGAGGGTTTACTCCGAACTTCTTTTTCATAACAGTGGTTAGGACACCCCAAATTATTTGTCGCCCTTGCTTTTGATTTACTGTCTTAACAGCCCTGTTTAAATCCACCAGTTCTTTAAGATCGCATTTCCACTGGTCTTTGCGCTTCCAAGGCGCCCTCAGGAGTGCAATAAGTTCTTCTTTCTTCTGCTCAGTTCTTGTTACTGTTCTGAACAATTGTACCACACGTCACTCCCCACCCTGTTCGATAGCAGATTTAGCATCTTTCAACAAGTACTTTCTCTTATCGATTTCGATTTTGCTATACCCGAACAGCAAAACGATCAGGCACCAAGACTTCAACCAACGTCCCCCTGAATTATTATTAATTACCACTGGGTTCTTCTTTTTTATTTTAGCAAGCTACTTCAAAATACGTAGGAGATCTGGTTCCTGCACAACCTGCGTTTCCACACAGTTAAAAAACAGAGCTTCAAACGGGCGATTCACAATTACTCCCTTTTTTTTCTCATGTCTCCCACGCGTCCGACACTTACTCATTCCGACAGTATTTCCCACTATATTCAGTCCTGGGTTATTATCCTTAATAATTGTGCGTTCTAGGCCCTCGATGACCACTTCATTACCAAAACAGATTGGAATAGGTACGTAGTGCTCGATGCCAACTTTTTGAATCCATACATGCACTTTGTGTTGACTATTCCCAGCCACCGCCCTTCGATGCTCAGACCATCATTCTTTCATGGTGCGGATGGTTCTACTGACATAGACCGCTTTATGACTTAACGACATCAGCACGTACACGCAGCTGCTACCATTCAGCAACTGGTTCCATCTCTTAGCACCCAGATTCACCCAGTGACGAACGTAGGTTCTGCCCCATGCAATATCGTCTCTAATACTTGCTAGGAGGACGATGAGAATGAGAATACGCTCTAGGAGACTATGTGTCTCCTTATCAACTTGCTGCTTGGCCTTACGGATACGCTCAGTGGCCCGACGAAGTGATCGGAGGCGCCCTCCAGTTAGTTTCCCTTTACATCGTTGCTGCCTGAGCCTGTGTTCCCGCAGTCTTCACTTTGTGACTCGTTCTTCTTGGAGTGTTAGGCGACCACAGATGAGGGGTCGACGTTCAGCTGGTCGGCATAGTCCTGAAGATCCAACCGGACCAGCTCCCAAGCACCCATATCCTTGCGGAAATATAGTATAGATTTCTGTTTGCAAAGTTCCATGACGCGTGTATAGTGCAACGAGTTATAAAATTCGTGCCTGATCTTCATATACGCGGCCAGACCCCCTTCATCAATCTATTCTTCGTCTTCAGTACATTCCTTGTTCTGCACCACGTTCACGTCTTCGGCATCTTCAGTGTCCCTGGTCTCTACCGCCGGGGTTTTAATAGGTTCGGGTTCTGTTTTGACTCTAGGTAAGATAACTTTCCTTTTCCCTTTGATATCGCCGATTCCGTTCAGTAGTGAGGCCAGCATGAGCTTGATGTCGGTCAGCTTGCTGCTTCCTTCCATCTTAGCATGCAAGTTCTGCTTCACTCCGGTAGCGCCTTCTTCGTCAGAGGAAATATCTATCCTCTTTGTCCTCGACTTTTGTTTCTCGCTTCCACGTGATCGGGTCTTCACGGGATTCGTCGTTGGGGAACATACTGCAGGAGTGCGTTCCCTACTTCTCTTCCGTTTCTCGCTGCTCGACGAGTCCATTCTCTTTTTCTCGGCTGCAGCACTGATAACGCAAAGCCGTCCGAATTCTTCCTTCTCCTTGCTAGTAATCTTAGCCTTCTTATCCACTTCTTCCAGTTTCTCCGTAATGAGTTTAAGCGAGTCTCCCAAAGTAGCCGTAACCCACGCCTTCATTTCGTCAGTCTTATCGCTCTTCTCAATCATAGTGTTTACACAGTTCTCACCACGGCTGCTCTCAGCCGGAATCTCCACGATCTTCACACCACTTCTTCTAGATGTAGCAACTTTCTTCTTTGCTTCATCCAACAACTTATCCGTCTTGATCTCCTCCATGATATCCATATATTCCTTAGTGAAATATGCCCGGTTCCCCGGACCAGGGAAGGCATTTGCTGCTGGTCCTTTTCCCCCGCCTCCAGCAGCTCCATGTCCATGATTACCATGCCCTGCACCTTGCTGCTGAAATGGCTGTTGCTGTCCATTAGCCCGCCGACTTGGTGGATTCAACATAGTCCACTGTTGATTCCTCGGCCACTGAGCCGCGGGTAGCCATGGCTGTACCCCCCATTGCCCCTGCAGGGGGGCTTGATACTGCATGAGGTTACTTGGCATCGTCACACCTGGCTGCAACGTCACACCCGGAGGTGCTACCGGTGCTGCGCTAAACTGCTGTTGTGGGAAGATCCCAGGAAGGGGTGGATTGGAAGTTGGGTCTGCGGCAGTACCGTTGTTATTCGCAAACTTCCCATTGCTTGCCCTCTGAGGGTTTTGTCCGAACCCATTTCCACCTTCCATCCAATATCTTCCGCAGTTAGACGAGCGTCCGCGTCTTCCCGCCGATTTCTTCCCCCGCCCTCTCCCGTACATACGCACAACTGTAAGTAAGCAGATCGCCCCGACACCGATCCCAACTCCAATTGTCCACTTGTTCACGTCACCTCCACCGGTCCCGATGTTACTCTTGTTTATACACAACAGCATACCAGCGCTCTAACAGAGTGCCATCAGCTCCGCCACTGAAGAAACTCCACTTGGCCGCGGACCCGATATGTTGCGCGATCGCACCTCCGCCGAGCTGGCACCGTGCTGATCGTGACGATGTTACGACGCCTGGTGTGCGAGCGTAATCATGCTCGTGCGCCAACCAGAGTACTCCTGATTTACTCTAGAATACTTACGGAGGGTATGGGAATTCAGAAACTTGACACAATAACACATTTAACACATTTGCCGAGTAAATCCGGCTGAGGCCGAATAAAAAATCGGACACAATTATTCGTGTCGCAATGACGCATCAAGATCAAGGTCTAACACCCGTAAAAGAACGATGCTCGTATCGAGCACTCCCGTTCGGGTAATTGACGACGCGCATCAATGCCAATAGCTTTACTAGATATATATATACACCGTGTGAACACGGCGCAACGTTAAATATAAGGAAAGAAGAAGAAATGATAAAATTGGAAATGGCAATAAGAATGAACCAAAACGTAAAAAAGGAACAATAAGAGGAACAATAAATAGGAACAATAAAAGGAACAATAAAAAGAACAATAAAAGGAACAATAAAAGGAACAATAAAAGGAACAATGAAATGAGACATATGCGATAATTACCGAGTAACTATCGGCACCTCACTCTCGTTCCCAAGCCACGGCAAGGTCGAAAATGAGGCTCTAATCCATGCAAAATGAACTCAGATGAACACCATGTAGAAGAATATGATATGAGCTTTATTATCGTGACGCCATCAACCACCACGGTAGAGGTACTTAACCCTTCCACTCATACGTCACTTGGATTGAGGTAAGTGTTACTTCCCAGTACTTCTTCAAATATTACTTGATTGCAAGACCCAATCGTGCAAACTTGCGCATCTACCCTCACCTTGCGCCCGTCGGGCAAGATTGCCTCGCTCGAAATTTAGTCATAAAATAAAATAAAATAAACAAAATCCCTTCTCCCTAATTCGTTTAAACTTTATGCTTTCTGCAAAGTGAACCTAGCCTGTTCCCTGCTCAGGTACAAACCCGTTCACTGACTTATACTCATTTCCTGCCGCACGGCTTTACCAGCCTCTACGATAAAAAATGCCGAAAGCATCCAGAGATACAACAAGGGTTTAAATAGCTGACGACCTTATGCTTACTGCAGAGTGAACATAGCCTTATGCTTACTGCTTAGGCTGCACCGTTGTGTCACCCTCATCCAGCAGTCCAGATGCATCCACATCTTGCACCGTAAGGTGCTGCACGGCATGAGGGATGCCCCGCAGCTCCATTTCATACTATATCGCCGTCAGCATTCCCAACCCTCCAGCAGAACCCCTCATCACACAGTGTGCAGTTTAAAGTCGGTTCTTGGTGGTCACTGTCTGCCCTCTTTCAGCCACTCTTGAGAGAAATCCTTGTTTCCTTTTTGTTTTTCTGTTTTTTTTTTGTTTGTTTGTTTCCGAGGTTACTCTGAGAACCTGGGGTGAAGTCCCACCGCCCAAGTTTAAGTTTAGAAAACGCCACCATGTGACACCATTTTGACATTAATAAATTCGAAACAGGAAATAAAAAAACTGAAAACAAATGCAAGAAACAACTTTTCTCCTTATTTTTGATTAAGTAACTCGGAGAAATGAAACACATCTGGCACAGTCGGAGTGAATATCTCCGTGGAAAAAGGATACTTGTGATACGCAACCTCACGCCCCCTCGCAGCTTCCCGTACTGGGTCGCCGATCAGAGTTCTAGGAGGGGCGTGGCCGAGGATTTTTGGTCGTAGGGGTTGAGTCCCTCGGACGGAACGGGAGGCGCTCGTTTCATGCCAGAGGTTACCCCGGAGTCGAACTGTCGTCGCGAAGTCCCGTGGGGGTCGGATCACTCCGAAACGATAAAATCAGAAGGGTTTCAACAAAAACGAATTGTCGTCGTGCATCAGGACGGAAAAAGGCATCAAGGGGAGAGGGCCATGGCGGCGGAAGACAGAAACTCCGACTGTCGTGGGTTTGGGGGATAGGTGGTGGGTTTGAAGCCTTCCGGCCTCGTTATCGGCCTCACGAAGTGACTGGACCATCGGGTCTTTGCTGTAGAGGTGGTTGGTTCGAGGTCTTCAAGCCTCAGCGTCGGACTCGCAAAGTCCGCACGGAAGTTTCCGAGAGGGTGAAACGGCGGGAGGACTCGCCGGCATCGGAATTCGAAATTGCGCGGGCAGTGCCCCCACATTACGAGAGAGCTCGGGGAAACGTGTCGCTCCCTCGTAACCCAGGACCAAGCGTCGCCAAGAACACGAGTCCCCCTAGCGACACCAGTGACAATCAAGCCGCGGCCGCCACGCGGCATGAGCGGCCGACCAGGGCAACACAGTTAATCCCGTATAGGGCAGTATTAGAGTCAGGGAATCAAAACGATCAATCAAGACAAACCCGTTCCCCCTTATATCACAAGCTCGAGGCGGGTCTTACCTACACACTTGCTCCGTCCGCCTCAGCGCGCGTCGTACGTCCGCATCGCAGTAGACGCAGTCGTCATCTGTGATGGGGAAGGTCGGTAGCGAGATGAGACGATCGGAGGTACGCGATGAACACGGGCAAGATCCCGCGCTCCCAGTCATCCGAACCAACACCGACTCCATACAACACTCGACGCAACTCTTCTCTCTCAAAAGTGGGTGCGTCGGGGGAAGATGACGAAATCTAAGCTCTCTCCCCTTGCGGGAGCATCGACGGTCCGCGCGGACACAGGCAGTTGACATCACCGGGACAGGGACGAGAAGTTCAAAAGCGATGACTATCAGTTCAAAAAGGAAGGCGATCGAGAGAGAGAGTGAGTTACGCCGAGACTGCGCGTGCGCGCAGGAAAGGCCGCGGAGGGGAGGGGAACAACAGGATCAACACACTCGTACTCCTAAGGAGACGGTCCACCAGTTCAGTTTCCCCGTCCCCGCCCGGACAAGTACATACACACATACATGCATGCAATCAACAACCCTTGACATGACATCGAATCATCCATAGACCTTCAACAGCACTCATGCGCACAACCAGCTCCCATCACTCGGGGCTTCACACACACGACAGGCATAGACAAAGCAGCAATGGAGATAAAACCGAGTCCTTCTTGTACACAAAAATTTCAATTAACTGCCGCCCCCAGGCGCAGCCTTCAAACCTCCCAAGACCACCGACCACCATAGCCACAAGGCCCTGCCGCGGCCGGCGTCCAATCCCCACCACTGCTCAGTCCCTCCGACTGCTTCACCCCGAGACTACCGCAGGTCCACCCCACGTCGTCACTCCGCCCGTCCTTGGGCTCGTTGAGCCTGTTCGGCGCCGCGGACTTTCACGCATGGCTCGCACAGCATTGCAGCCGAGATCAAAGAGAGAGAGAGGAGACGGTTGCGCGAATTTATAGCGCGGGAGGCGGCGGGTTGTCAGCACGAGGTGCGGGCAGCGCAGGTTGTAGATGAGCAGGACAGGAGGAAGGTGGGGAGTTAGAGGGTTCAACCCGCGGGATGGCATGGTCCTACGTGATTGGGGTGTCCGTTCAAGTGGTGCGCGGTTTCCCGCTCTCCACATTGATCCGAGCATCCCAACTACGCGGCCAATCACTTCGCGGAGTAAGGATCGAGCTGGGCGGAGGGGAAGACGAAGAGTCCTGCATGGGGGAAATGCGCGCAGCAAGAAGGGAAGATGGCGCGGGGATGCAAAGCAAGAAACGGGGGTGCGAGACGCGCGAAGAAATCGGAGCTTAGGCGCGCGCGCGCAAAAATTCAAAAAGTCCCCACCGAAACCGTTTCTTGGTTTTCATACCGCGGCCGCTATTCGCCCGCGCGGGAGTTATTAACCAAAAATGAAAAAGCCGTTTCAAAAAGAAAACAAAAGCAAAAAGAAAGAAAAACCCCTGTTTGTCCGCATCCGTGCCTCGGGGCTTCCGGGGGATTTTTCCTCAGGGATACGGGAAGCCGCGCGGTACGGGTCTGAGCTTATCACATACTTCCCATGGTGAGGGGACAGGAGGTCACCATTCGTAAAATGGACAGGGACAACATGGATGGCCAGATGCATTCATTGCCCAAAGAAGGAAGAGAGTTTGATGCGAGAGAGCCAAACACAGCTGTCAGAGTTCCTCCGTTTCAGGGTGTAATGATGTCTTATAAAACAAAAAAACGAAAGGCACATAACTTGAGAAATGTACCCTACCCTCGGTAGGGTAGTTTTCTCAATAGAAAATTGTTTCCCGCCCAAACGGAAAGGGCCAAAGCATATGACAAAACGGATTTCACGTCAAAGAAAAAATGTACAAAATGACCAAATCTAATAGGTTATTCTCCTGTATTTCGGTACCCTTAGATTCTCAATACATCAACGGCAGAGCTCCGTCTCACCAGGCCACACATGATAGAAAGGTCAGCGTTGCGAAAACTCAACTTCGGCGGTGGGACTTCACCCCTGAAGCCAGAAACAAAATCCTCTTTCAGCCACTCTCTGGCTGCTGGGGAGTTCCTCATATGCCTACAATTAGGAGTAGCGGTAGGTAGGTAGTGTGAGCCTGTGAGGTGAAATTGAGAGAAGAATATAGCTTCAAAAAAAAAAAGAAAAAAAAAAGAAAAAAAAATGCCACAATTATTTAAAGCAAAAGAGGGAAGTACGTTCATGTCACATAAGAGTTTCATAGGGGGCAAAAAAACCTGCGTCAGCACAGAAACCAGGCGCGAGTTAGAAAAGGGTAACGAAAGTACCGCGGCCATGGTGTCAGGCCGGGTGTCATATTTTACAAGGGTCCACCATGGTGTCATATGGGGGGAAAAAAAACAAAAAATCCCAACGGATGCTTTTCCACCGAAATTGCCGTTTCAAAGTAGGCGCATGATTTCTTTGCCGGAGCATGTTTGTTTTGCCTTTATGAACGCCAAAGAGTCCAAACCTGCCACGTCCGCGGTTGTTTCCTTAAAAAAAAAGGATTGACTGCCAGTGTCGTGTGAACGTGGACAGGAAAGCTCGCCTCTTCAGCCCTCTGGAGGGCTGCCAGATCCAGCTCTACACTCAAATGCAAACTTGCTCATTTCTTTTTTTT